TTCTTCTGAAATTAAGCGCCAAGCACAAGAAACAAGAGATAAGCCTTCTAAAATAATACAGGAAAATATTATTAATACACCTGAAGCAATTAGACCATATCTTCCCTCAACAAACGCCTGTTGTAGAAAAATTCAACGTGTAAGACATGCAGGATTACCACCTCAACTGCAAAACATTGCCGAATTCGATGTACTAGATAATCTTCAAAATACATTAAATGACAAACTTTTCTTAGTTAATGACCAATTAGTTGGTCAAAGTCGAATTCTCATTTTTACTACATTAGAAAACATTCGATACTTATCTCATACTCCATTTTGGATCATGGACGGGATGTTCGATACAGTGCCTACAATTTTTCATCAATTATATTTGATTCATGCACCTGTTGGTGCTGCAAATAATTCCTGAATTCTCCCATTCGTGTATGCATTAATGTCATATAAATCTGAAGAACAATATAATTGGTTGTTTGAAAGCTTGATTGACTTTGCCAAAGAGAATGAAATTGATCTCTATCCTCCTAGAATCATCACCGATTTTGAAGTCACTGCAATAAATGCATCACGGTTTATGTTTCCTGGAGTTATAAATAAGGCATGTTTCTTTCATTTGAGACAGAACAGATGGAAGAAGATACAAAAATGTGGATTAGCAAGTAAGATTATATTTATTTATACCTGCTGTATTCTGTCATATACTATGTGGTACAAATCTAGAAATTTTATACATACATATGTATACTGTACGTATAACGATAATCTAACTTTATTTGTTATTTGTTTTAATAGGCAAATACAGAAATGATACATGCTTTAGTATCAAAGTACGATGTTTGTTTGCTTTAGCTTTTTTACCCCCTAGTGAGATCCCAAGCGCATTCAATATTTTAAAACCACAAATGCCTCAAGAGGCAAGAGAACTAGTTTTATAGTTTGAAGAAATGTATGTTCTCAGTAAACTTAGGCGAGAAATGAGAAATTCGTTCTGCACCTCTTTTCCTCCCGAAATATGGTCAGTACATGAGTGCCTAGATTTAAGTGTCCCTCGAACTCAAAATGTAGTTGAGGGATGGCATAATCGGTGGGCAACGTTAGTTGGTAATTCTTATGTTGGTGTATATACATTAATCCAAGAATTACAAAAGTAAAAACAAATCGTCGAAGCTTAAATTGATTGCATTTTCTATGGTGAGTGTTGTTCTAAACAAAGAAAGGGTCTAGTTGAAAGAGAAAATAGAATAAGGTCTATTATCAATGATCGAAATAATCGCTCATTAATAGATTTTTAGATGGACTTGCACACAACTTATTTATATGATTGATCATGCAATTTTGCTTATATTTTTGCAATAATATTAATATATAAATTCAAATTTATAAAATTTCTTTGCAAAATCTAATTGAATTAATAATTTTGCTGGTTAGTTGAAGTTTTTTACAATTGAACAAATTTATTAAAATTTATATTCGAATGTACCTTTAATAAGTAACTTTTAAAAAAATATCAAATTAATATATTCTAAAGCATTTAGATCATTAGGACTTAGGAATTTTTTTCTTTCAAAACACTGTCAGATTAACTATCCTAAATATGCTATCGCTTCTGAGGTATTTAGACTGCCTAATAATTTTATTATTGGGTAGCAATCTATAGTTTATATAGCAATAGTTTGTTTTTTTTATTGAGCAGTACGATCTTTTACTTTATTAACTATTCTGACTTTTTTAAAAAAATTTCTAGTAGGTTTGACCAGAACTGCTACGACATTGATTTTTTTTTAAGATTCTAGCTAGTTGGGCCAGAACTATTAAAGTGAAGGTTTTTTTTTTTTTTTTTTTTGAAATTCTAGTAGATTTGTTATAGCGAGGTATTGTTTTTTAAAATTCTAATAGGTTGGGCCAGATCTTTTTAAAATTCTGGTTAGATAGGCCAGAATTTTTTAACGAAGATAACTTCTTTTAAAAATTTTAGAAGGTTGAGTCAGATCTATTATTATGATAATGGTGTTTTTTTTTCATAACTCTTATAGCAAAGGTGATTTTTTAAAAATCCAGTCAGTTGGACGATAATAGTAATTTTTAAAAAATTCTAGTCAGTTTGGCTAGAACTTTTTCAATTTTCTTTTTTTAAAATTCTAGTAGATTGGCCAGACCTATTACAATGATAGTAATTTTTTTAAAAAAAATTTAGTTAGTTGGGCCAGAACTATAATAAGGTGATTTTTTTAAAAAAAAATTCTAGTCAGTTGGGCCAAAACTATTATAGCGAAGGAGACTTTTTTTAAAATTCTAGTTAGTTGGTCAGAACTATTATATCGAGGGTTATTTTTATAAAAATTCTAGTCAGTTGGGCCAGAACACTTTCGACAAAGGTACCTTTTTTTAAAAAAAATTATAGTAGGTTGGGCCAGATCTATCATCAACAAAAATAAATAGGCGTAAAACTCCGCAAGTTTTTACGTGAGCGTAAACTTACGAAAATTTATGATTAGTTTGGAGTATTACGTAGGTGTAATAATTACGAAAGTTTACACTATAGTAACTCCGGAATATTACATAAGTGTAATAATTACGAACATTTACGGCATAGTAAATTTAAATATAGCGAAA